CTTACAGACGTTTCATGACCCAACTAGGTAACATTATCAGTGATAGAAGGGAGTGGGGTGTGCAAGGAGGGAGGAAGAGACAGGATAGGAGTGGAAGGATTGTCTGCTCTCTAAAGTTGGTTATTTTCTTACAGACGTTTCATGACCCAACTAGGTAACATTATCAGTGATAGAAGGGAGTGGGGTGTTGAAGGAGGGAGGAAGAGGCAGGATAGGAGTGGAAGGATTGTCTGCTCTCTAAAGTTGGTTATTTTCTTACAGACGTTTCATGACCCAACTAGGTAACATTATCAGTGATAGAAGGGAGTGGGGTGTTGAAGGAGGGAGGAAGAGGCAGGATAGGAGTGGAAGGATTGTGGAGTATTGTCTGCTCTCTAAAGTTGGTTGTTTTCTTACAGACGTTTCACGACCCAACTAGGTCATATCATCAGTGCTAAAGGGAGTGGGGTGTGAAAGGAGGAGGAAGCAAAGAGCTACATAGTGCTAGTCTGTATGTGATACGCCGTACGCTAAATAAATACATGTCCCTGCAGCCATGAACGAGTGGGTGCCCATCGCTAAAGAGTACGACCCCCTCAAAGCGGGGAGCATCGATGGCACCGACGAAGAACCTCACGACCGGGCTATTTGGAGGGCCATGTCCGCCCGTTACGTCCCCAACAAAGCCGTTTCCGGAGACCCCCACCTGACCCTCTTCGTAGCCCGCCTGAACCTGCAAACCACAGAAGAGAAGTTAAAAGAGGTTTTCTCCCGGTATGGAGACATTCGGAAAATGCGCCTGGTTCGCGACCTGGTGACGGGTTTTTCCAAAGGCTACGCTTTTATTGAGTATAAAGAGGAGCGGGCGCTGCTGAAAGCCCACCGCGACGCCAACAAGCTGATCATCGACCAGCGGGAAATCTTCGTCGACTTCGAGCTGGAAAGGACTCTCAAGGGGTGGATCCCGCGCAGGCTCGGAGGCGGTTTCGGCGGGAAGAAGGAATCGGGCCAACTACGGTTCGGAGGCCGAGACAGACCCTTTAGGAAGCCCATCAACTTGCCGGCCATGAAAAGGGATTTTTACGGCGAGGAGAAAAGAGAGCGGGCTTGGTCCCGGGGAGGATCGAAGGATTGGAAGACCGGGGAACGAGATTACGAGAGGAGCCGAGAGTCCCGGCGATCGGAACGATACGGCAAGAGCGAAAGAGAGCTGGAGCACCGGGGTAGGGAAGACAGGGGCAGAGGCGTGGAAGGGAGGGAGCGAGAAAGGAAAGATCGGAGTCGCGAGGCCAAAGATGGCAAAGGATGAAGGCCACCGTCGATGGGACATTTCCTTCAAGTGTTGCTCCATTGAAAGAGAACATCAAAAGCGTAGACCTCATTCCCAAGCCAAGGTGGATGGTCATCTGGAATCCATACAGACATTGTGGGCAGAAACGGCAACTTCCCAGCTGAAGAAGAGTCAATATTGTTGACAGTATTGTTCTTGGGTCTTATCCCAAGATCTGTTGAACGTTGGATCCCATGTTGACATTATTGCCTGTTATATCTGAAGTACCAAAAAGGAGAGAGCTGGTTTAGGATTCTCACCACCGTCCCATATCCTTTAATTCTTGAAAATTAAAAATAAGGCCTTCATTCCACCAGGAGAAATGTTCCTGAAGGCAAAAGGGAAGTAGGGTTGAATTTATAGATGGGGTGTGAGGGACTCAGACCAAAAGACCGTTTGCGAGTCAGTGAAATCACCCCGGAGGCCTCTTGTTAATTCAGAAATAAGTTTATTTAGCATATTAAAAAGAGTTCTACAGTTCTCTCTACTAGTCCCAGCCAAATCGTCTTTATTGCCTTTAACTATCTAACACCCTGAATCTTGAATTAAAAACAAAGCGTCCTCTTTGCATATCCTGTGTTTGCACGATTGTTGTTATCCTACACCGTGGGTGTCGAAATTCGGCAACTTTTGAGACTTTTTGACTTCAATTCCCAGAGTTCCCCAGCCGGCCAGCCGTGCCGGCTGGGGAATTCTGGGAATTGAAGTCCACCGGTTTTAAAAGCTGCCGAGTTTTGACACTAAAACCTTCCCAGATAATTGTGTTAAGAGAGAATACAGAGGTTTGGGGATATTTAGTGAAGTGCTAACCCGCGATTTGTGCAAAGCAACTTAAAATTCATAAAAAGGTTATTTGGATGTGATTAGAAGTGTCCTGAGCATTTCCTGTTGGCTGGGGAATTCTGGGAGTTGAAAGTCCACACCTTTTAAAGTGGGGGAAAAAACACCCACACACCACTCTTTTTTTTCTGAGGTTTGGGGCATAAACACCTCTTTCATTTTTTTCCCCACCGTTGCCCCTCAATGTTCATATTTCTAACCCCAGCAACCGTCCACCGAATTCAGGCCGATGAAAACTTTTCAAGGCCGCTTTGATCTCATCCAGAAAGAGGGGAGACGGGAAGCTTTTTTTACAGGCCTGTTCCCAAAACTTATCAAAGTGAAAGTCGGCGTGTTTGGTTGAAGCGGCTGCCTTCACACAGAAGGGCAGGGGGAAGAAGTTTTGCTGCTGCGAGTTTGGTGAGAATCGCAGTTGGAAACGAAACAACAACAAAAAAGGATTAGCCTAGATTTCATCTGTTCGGTCGCCGTCCCCGTGTCGAGAGAATTCAGGGCAAAAACACAAGGCACCGTTTCCCTGGACATGACGTTAGAGGCACTATAAAAAAGCCATAATATATAATATTATATTCTCTACCGAATGACAGAGAATGGAAGTGTGACCTTCCTCCCATATTTGGGCATACCAGGGGTTGTGACTTTAAATATAT